ACCGATAAGGTGGATTATATCCGTTGTTGCCAAACACGAGCACATGATATTGTTGAGACAGGGCGGTACTCAAACTTCCAAAGGGCTATAACTTTGCTACTTTAATTTTACCAGAAAAATGGTAAAGGAAAAGAACATTTCTTTTGATCAGATCTACTCACTGTTAAAATAAATGACTCAACCTCGAAGCATAGGTGATTTTTGGTATGTCAACTCCTTTTGACGAGTTCTACAAGCAGTCAAAATAAATGACAACATTGAAAACAACCTGTATAATGGTGACGGCACAAGCAACATGACGTAATAGATACATACGTAACAGTAGAAAAATGTCTATACTTGGAAATAATAGAGTTTCTGAGAATGCAGACGCAATGAGGTCCGGTTCACGGAAGGGGTCCGGTTCAGAGCACTTTCCTCTAACATCCATGAAAACAGCTCTTGATTAAATTTTAAAATTCCCGTTTACTAATTTTGTAGGTACTTTGCGTACGTCTAAGAAGATCACATCATGAATCATCTTGTAACGATTTACTATCTCATGGCAATGGTAGTCGAGGGATGCACTGCATCTGCGAACGTCTCGTCGTACTTGACTATAACCCCCACCTCACGAAGCTCCGGCGTGTACTACGAAAATATAGGTGAAGTGCTCCTGTTGTGATATGCTGGCCACGAATTATAGCTGTCATGAAAGGTGATGTAACATCAAAGGCTTTCCCGTAGTTGTATTGCTGATCCATATCCATATTGACTTTATATACTCAGTGCCATTAGAAGGGTGACACCCAGAAAAAATAATTCCTTCGACTTGTTTTTTTTTGCAACATAATGACTATATTTAAAGCATGCTGTGGCAACAATGTCAACGTTTTATCTTTGTTTTTGTTTACCTTTGTTAAAATGTTATCTCTTAGTTTTTGTGAAGAAAGCAGTTGGTCAGAGCTGAGTAGTACAGATATTTTTAGTTATTGCCCTTTCATTTACTACTGTTAAGCATAACAAAAATCTTCGAGTGCGAAGACGTCCAATCGCGAAATAAGCCGCCGTGTTAATTGTACTGCAATGACGGTAATGCGTGTATGTCGTGTGTGAATAGAAGAAGGTAGAGGAACACGAAGAAGACCAACTGGTGCACCGAGGCGTACCATAGAGCGTCAACATAGGCACTTCGGACAACTAGCCCTACGAGACCATTTTGCTACAACGCATCAGATCGCTGACCAATGGTTTGGAGAAAAAGGTAGACCTGTTACTATGCGTACACTCTATCGCCGCATTCGAGCTTTTGGACTTTTTTCATACCGTCCACGGTTAGTGCTTCCTCTGACTGCGGACCACTGTCGTGCACGTTTGAACTGGAGCAGAGAACGGAAACATTGGGAGGCAGAATGGCATAATGTCATCTTCAGCGACGAATCGCGATTCTGTCTAGGTACGCACGATGGTCGTAGAAGACGCCGCCGTGGAGAACGGCTTGATATTGGATTTCCTGTCGAGAGACATGTACAGAGTGCTATTGGAGTAATGGTTTGGGGGGCTATTAGTTATGGTAGCCGATGACTACTTCTCTTTATTAATACGATTGCTGCGCGTTATGTTGATGAATTCCTACAAACCACTGTACTGCCGTACCTAGAAGGCCGTCCACACTATCCACTTTGCACCATCCGCCACAGACTGCCACATCTAATCCACAAAGTTCAAGTTGCTTGGTATGAAGTGCCACAACCAGACGCCGATCATCTCATTTTGTCGATGCCTAGACGTATACAGAAGTGTATGCGGAGTCGCCAAACACATTATTAATTTTTTTCTTATTGTCCATAATATCTTTTCATTTTTGATGTACGACTAGCTCATCGCCAACAAATTAAGTTGAAGAAATTATTTTTTCTGGATGTAACACTTCTAATGTCACTGAGTATATTATCCATTATTTATGTATTAAGCGCTAGAACGTGATCTGCCATCCTTCTCCCAGGGCCCTTGTCCTTGTCTATCTTCGGCTACTTGACAAAGTATAAACAAGAAAGAGGCCTTACGCGATAGTCTAAACAGGTCATTATCCGAAGTAATTACAAAAGTACATCAAAATAAATCTGATAATTTTCCATTCAAGCATGTTGTCAGTAAAAAACCGCATTCGGTTATTTTCATATTTTGGCGAAAGAACCCCACTCCGCAGGAGGAGTCATGTAGTTTTTAAACAACACGCTCTCATGAAAAATTATCAGTATTTTTGATGCACCTGTGTAATTACTTCCGAAAATTTTCCGTTTGTCTAGAGAATTTTCAGTGAAAATTGCCCAGTAGGTATCTAAAATTTTCCTATAGGTCCATATCTATAGTTACAATTGATGATCTTGAAATGCATAAATATCGGATTTGAAAGCTCGCGAATAATTCTACCGATACACTCTTGCACAATAAATCTGATAATTTTCCATTCAAGCATGTTGTTAGTAAAAAAACGCATTCAGTTATTTTCATATTTTGGTGAAAGAGCCCGACTCCGAATCAAAAGTCGTGCAGTTTTTATACAACACGCTTTCATGAAAAATTATTTATTGGTAATTTTGATGCACTTGTGTAAGTACTTCCGAAAATTTCCCGTTGTTTGGGTAACGGGGAATTTACGCTCTAATTTTGCGATACTTCCACACCTCTTATGGCATTTCTTATACATGAGGGAAATATTCGTTAATACTTATCACTCCATCGTAGTTGGAGGTGTCAATAACAATCATTTTCTTTTTAGATCCAGCGAAGTAATTCAGCGGCTTGACCCGATAAAGCAAATAGACACAGCACTGGCCAATTATCTGGGCATCAAGAAACCGAATCATGTCAAAAGATTTTGGAGCTGGCTCTGGAGAGGGTTCGTTAATATTTATAATGAGGTTCCCTCAGTATGGCAAATCGAGTTGAGCCGACGTTATCAATAACTGGCTATGGAGTACTAGATTCAAAGTACTGTACCGGAACTGGATTCAAGTACTTCACAATAAGTAGCTCAGAAAGTTAAACTCTGTTTCCATTATTGCATTATTCCGTAATATGTTGCTCGTCATGTGTCAACAGAAGTGCCTTATAATGGGATTTTTATTCGCTGGTTAACTTTGCACTTGGGTAACTATAGCTTGTAAGTTATTTATTATTTTGTTATCCGTAAATTAGTTTGTCAATCTCTGGTTAACTAGCAGTATGGGGCAACACTGCCTCTACCTGTGAAATGTCGTGTATTGGAGGTTTTGTGACGCTCAGTGTTTGTGTATAGTGTCATCCGCGACAACTACTCGTACGTCACTGTCAAACAAAACATGTTAGGAATTGCGGTGTCATTAAAACATTACCTTTGTTAGTCACTCAGTATATGTATGTTATATGCCCTTAGTAACTACGCAGTTATTCAGTAAGCCTACATTGTTGCACTAGACGCTGCGTTAGCATAAGATAACAGCTTCTCGCTAATTAGTTGGATATGGATCTATTGTTTGTCCATTGTCCATTGTGTATTTCGGCTACAAAAAGACCACGAGCCTTCAAAGAAGAATAAGAAGAAGAAAAGAAACCCCGGGATAGACAGCGAGCAGCAGCCACCCAACTACGAGAGCAGCACCCTTCAGAAACATCGAAAGAGATCTGCTGGACTGACTCTTGGAGAACACGACTGCTTCCAGATGTACCCCTGGTAGTTAGATGCAAAAAGGCTCAATAGAAAAACCATAGTAGATGGCATTACAAAATTCACGCCCACTGGTACCATAGTAATAACATTTCAAGGCACAGTACGCCCCAGAGATGTTTCTATTTACTATCTTCTCTTTCCCGTATTTACATATATACCACCTGTCACTCAATGTTACTCTTGTCTCACTTATGGTCACACTAAGATCCAGTGCAAGGGAAAAAGAAGATGCTTTAATTGCGGTAATCCTGAACATAATGAAGAGGGGGATGGACTTTCGCCGTCAAAGAAAATGTTATCATTGCGATATTCTGGAACACAGATCCAACTCGAAAGACTGCCCAGAGTACAAGAGGCAAGAAAAGATAAAACAATTTATGGTATTTGAAAATATTACATACTTTGAGGCAAACGAACTGTGTCCTAAAACGTATAAATCGCAAAGTAATATGATAAACACAACCGTCATAGCTTACAATAATAGAAATTTCCCAACAATCAGGAACCAGAATACACCTTCTACCTCCGGAACAAGTCAAATAAATATAGCACAAAGAAGAACATTTGAATTCGCGAATACAATAAAAACAAAAAGAACCTTTCAACAAGCACTATCACAAACACCAAAAAAAGAATAGTTGAACATAACACCGGATACAATAGAGAAAGTCACAATGAGAACCTAATAAACAGAAACGGTAGACAACAAAACAGTAACGGAACAAAAACAGTACATGCACAAGTGCATAATAACGCTTCAAACACAGAAGCACCATTCAACACACCTAAGACGCCTACTAGTGCCCTTTACAGAAATAACACTAAAGAACAAGTAGATAAAAAACTTAAAATACCTTAAACCTGAAACCCTAAGTAAAATTAAAGAGATAGTGCTGAATGATACAGACCAGATTGACAACGAATTTTACTGAAAAAGCAAAAAATGTTACATAGCCTAGCCTCAGTAGTGCAAAACAGACACAACTGCAAAATGAACAGCAAAGGCACCTTACAGTGGAATCTAAGGAGTTACAGTAGTAACACCGTTAATTTAATACAATTTTTAGAAACGCATAACCCAGACATCATTTTTTTTAATTGAGACATGGCTAAAGAAACAACAGAGTTCGCATATTAGAGGCTATCAATGCATTATAGCAGACCGAGAAGATTGGAAAGGTGGAGTAGCTACATTTATAAAAAATAACATCTGTTTTCAAAACATAAGACTCCCTAACACATTTAACACTGGAAACCTACAATGTATTGTCACTAAAGTCCTTAATATTAATTTTGTTAATGTATATAGCCCTCCAAGCAACAAAATCACAATAAACGGGTTCAATGAACTATTGAAATCGCTCGTGGGCGAAGTGGTGTTGGTGGGGGACTTCAACGCCCATTACCCAGCATGGGGTAGCATTAAGACAAATTACAATGGTAGAGCTCTCTATGAAATCATAGAATCCAACAACCTCATCATAATGAATGATGGTTCCTCAACCAGACTCATAGGAACAGGGCAGAATCCGAGTCCTCTTGACCTGACCATAGTGTCGAACAACTTGGCCACCATCACACATTGGGGTATTTTGCAGTACTGCGGAAATAGTGATCACTTCCCGGTCATTTGTAAATATGAACCCTCACTAAGATCAACGAACGAAAGACCCAAAAGAAATTATAAAAAAGCAAATTGGTGTTTTTACAAACAATTGATAAACGAACACTTTAGGATGAATACGGATAATGTTGACTACCAAACCCTTGCTCAAACAATAAACATAGTAGCTGATCTCTCAATCCCCTATACCTATACCAAGCAAGATAATAACAGGTATCCAGAAAGCCCATGGTGGGATGAAGAATGCACAGCCAAAATTGAACAACGGAAAAAGGCCATACGAAAGTTTAAACTAGAATCTAGTTTCGAAAATTACATAGAGGCGAAAAAAATCAATGCAGAGACAAATAGATTCTTGAAAAAAAAAAGAAAAAACCCAATTTAAAAAATTCTGCTCCATCATAAACAGAAATACGAATCCCTCTTTCATATGGAAAACATTCAAAAAATTTAGTGACAATAAAAAAGTATACAATAAAAACTCAACCCCTAACCCACAAATTGCCGCAAATATCATAAAAAATCTGACTGTGTAACATTCCAGCTGAATTCTCATTCCATTGTTCAAAAAATGAAAACCATCAATTCTACTTCAGAGATTTATGTATCGCTTTGGAAAACCGCAAAAATAGTGCTCCAGGAATGGACATGTCATATTTGTTGCTCAAGAATCTACCAAGCTCAACACTACACTCACTATTAAACATATACAACTGCCTATCGGGTATGCAAATTCCTAACAGCTGGAAAGAGCATTTGATATACCACATCCTGAAAACAAATATTTTTTATTTTGATCAAAAATAAACTAGAGTGGGAACTCGAAAGTAAGATAACTTTTAACCACCTGCAGACAGGATTTAGAAAAGCACACTCTACCCAAGACAACCTCGCTTTCATAGTTTCCAACATACAATTGGCTTTTTCACAAAAAGAAACCACGTTAGCAGTCTTCCTAGACATCAAATCAGCATACGACAACGTAAACATTTTTCTATTATACGAAACACTAATAAAACTTGGAATATCTAAACAAATTTGTCATCTAATTTTTAATTTACTGAATAACAGAACAGTATATACAACAGATAATGAAAACAATATACATGGCCCAAATTTCACCTCACTAGGCCTTCCTCAGGGGTCCCCTCTAAGCCCACTATTGTTTAACATATACAGGGTGGCGCATCGAAAACGAAACAGACGCATTTACTGGCAGCTCAGTTTTTTTTTTGAAAAACGCTCAGACCCGTCGATTTTGTTTTCGAGGGGGACACAAGTTTGGCAAAAAATCACGTTAGCACGTGCAGCCCCCTAAGCGGGGGTGACACCACCCCCAAAATCTTAAATGGAAAGGGGGGTCGAGTGATACCTTATTTTAAAGGTCTTTCAATTCCCAATGATATACAATTAATGTACTTCAGTTCAGTAGTTTTGAAGATTTATTGATTCAAAGCTTAAATAAAACTAATACATCATCATTAGTGGAGATAAATACATTTGGCACCAAAGTAATTTAAAAATGAAAAATGAACTGACCCGTTAGGCAAGTAAATTTTGAAAATGGCCACCAAGACTCTCCATGCAGAAATAAAGATTTTGCTCAAAACGTTGCCGCACATTTTGCAATATTTGAGGAGTGATTTGAAAGCACTCATTCACAATTCTTTGTCGCAGGTCTTCTAATGATGTTGGCTGAGTAGCATCGATTTTGCTTTTTAAATGACCCCACATAAAGAAATCCAAAGGTGATAAATCTGGCAATCTTGGGGGCCATTCAATGGCACCTCTTCTACCAATCCATCGATCAGGAAACGTCTGATCTGAATATTGTCGAACACGTAATGCGTAATGTGGTGGGGCACCATCCTGTTGAAACATCCACCTATTCGCAATGTACCGCCGATCATTCTGATTTTTAATTATGGCTGTTAATGCAGGATCTATGGCGTCTTCCAGTAATGCTTCGTTCCTTATGGGATTTTCAATGTTGCGTTTTTTTATTGGCGACTGACCCAGTTTCCCGAAATTTAGCTACAAGTTCTAGAACATATTTTCGATGCACGTTGCTGTTCTCATGTCGCTCATTAAATATTTCTGCTGTTCTATTAGCGCACTGATTACTTCAGAAAAATATTTCGATAATTTCAACTCTTTCTGCTGTGGAATATACCTTGGTTAATTTATGTAATAAAGCATTACAAGTTATTTTAGCAACAAAGTTTGGTCAAATCAATCGCAAACTATGTACTAAATTCCTATTTAAAATAAGTACGAGATATTTCCTTATCTTTCTTCAAGAAATAACTTTTTTGCCACAAAAAATCGTTCCAATAGCTATTTTCAACAACAAAATGATAAACAAACCATGGACGTAGTGAAGAAAAGCATTTACTTATTAAGTAAATTCTTTTGGTAAAATTTCTTCTGAAAGTAGTACAAACTAATGTGATGTAAAGTCTACTTTAAGCTTTAAATCAATAAATCTTCAAAACTACTGAACTGAAGTACATTAATTTTATATCATTATAAAGGGAATTGAACGACCTTTAAAATAAGGTATCGCTCGAACCCCCTTTCCATTTAAGATTTTAGGGTTGGTGTCACCCCCGCCCAGGGGGTTGCACGTATTAACGTGATGTTTTACCAAACTTGTGTCCCCCTCGAAAACAAAATCGACGGGTCTGAGCGTTTTTCAAAAAAAAACTGAGCTGCCAGTAAATGCGTCTGTTGCGTTTTCGATGCGCCACCCTGTATATAAATGAATTATATTCAATATTACCACAACACATACATTTAGTCAGATACGCAGACGATATGGCACTGATGATCAACGATAGCAAAATAGACAAAATGGCGGAAGCATTAAACGAGTATCTGGAAAGAGTCAACGTTTGAATGGAAAGCCACAACTTTGAAATATCAGTGAAAAAAGCTATATGGTTTACGAAAGGTAATCGAATGCGGTCCACACCAATAATTAAAATTAACAATGAAAATATAGAGCTCAAAAGCCAGACGAAATACTTAAAAATTTAAAATGGAGCGCACAGATAGACAATATGATAAATAAGGCTAATAGGTGAATAAAACTTTAAAAAATTTATTTTTGGGAAGGTTTCCTGGGGTGCCGACCCTGCAACCTTACACATGGCATAGAACGGACTAGTTAAATCCCATCTGGATTATGGTAGCATACTATTAAGTTCCTGCAATCAAAAAGACCTCAATAAACTCCAGAAGACGGCATTTCAAGGGCTCAGGATCATAACGGGTACCGTGAAGTCAACACCAACTAACACGTTACCAGCAGAAACCCCGGAAATGGACCTACACCACAGGCGGATCTGGTTATGCACTAAATTCCTAGCGAAAAAAATTTGAATTCAATCCCACCCCTTAAACATAATATTAAAAAACTAAAAAACCAATATGAGTCAGGCCAAGACTATTGGAGGAATAGAGCGCCCACCATCACCATAGAAGCCCTTAACATTTTGGAGGAATACATTTCACTAATCCATTCGGGACGAGCCCTAGCGTGCTTCGAGTTTGATTACACTACTCAAACTCGGGCAGTGAAAGTCATCCCCCTTAACATAAACCAAAAAGATCAAAATATCGAGCTGCAATTTCTACAAATTATGGAACAGTTCAGAAACACTCATACCCTTATATACACTGACGTATCTAAAGTGGACTATAAAGTGGAATATGGGGTGCACATTCCTCAACTGGAACATAACTACACATTCAGACTCCCTGACTACTTAAATATCTGCGCGGCGGAAGTAGCAGCGATTAACAAAGCATGCAACATAGTCACAGAAAAGAAAATCCAGAAAAGCCTAATATTAACAGACTCGCAAAGTGCTAACTCAGAATATAGCTGCCTCACAACAAGAAAGCTAATTCACGAAGCTGCAGAAAAAGGATACAATATTGAACTGGCTTGGATCCCAGGACACTCAAACATTAGAGGAAATGAAACGGCAGACACTCTAGCTAACTTAGGAACACAACTCAGAATCTCACAGGATACGAAACTTACTATACCCGATATATTAACTAAGGCCAAAACAAAAGTAAAGGAGAAGTTCACAACAATGTGGAAACGAACATTCCTCAACAAAGGCAGGTGGTATAAGAAAATACAAGAAGAATTTCTAGTCAAACCATTCTACTCCAAAATCCCGTATATAAGCAGAAGGCACCTAATAGCCATAATGAGAATGAGAACGGGACATGCAAGATATAAAGCTCACATGTTCAAAATAGGAATGGAAGATGACCCCTTCTGTGATTGTGGACAATATGCAGATTTAAATCATATACTATTAGAATTCCCAATAAATCAAATATTAGGTTTTAATCTATATGAAGAGATAAGAAAAGCTGGAGTCAATGCCCCCTTTAACATTCAATCAATACTTGCAAATATCAACATAAAAGTCATATGCCTATTAACTTACTTCATTCAGAAAAATAAAATAATATTATAACTGTTTCAGATCCCCATCTTTTAAAACCCTGGGTGCTAATCATTTTCCGAGGCAACATTTAGGGTGTGTAATGTACCTCCGTTGCCCGGGTACGAGAAAAGTCTATACCTGTGTTGTGCTATCTGTCTGACTAACCTCCCTACACCACTTTAAACAGCAAAAGTAAAGGTTTTCATCAATCATAAATAGCAACACCTCAGCTCTAGAAACGATACAGCAGAAGATATAGATATATTTTACAGCATTTCTTCACGTGAATTTGAGACAATACAGTGACTCGTACATGGCTGAGAGCCAGACAAAGTACAGTCACAACAAATGAGCTGGCGGATTGTACACGTGTACAGAAGCCATAAGGAATAAAGAAGAAGAAGAACTATTTCTTTGCGATCTATCTCTGTGTGTATAATATTTTTTGCATCATTTATTTACATTTTTACGATTTTATACTAATTTTTACCATTTTACGTATTTTTCCCAAGTGATTTTTCCAATTTTATAACCCTTTTTTGCACATTTGCCTTTTTTCTAGTGACATTTTTTTGTTCTTCTTGAAAAGAATATGATGTGTTCAACAAAATTGGAGTTATCTATTTTTAGGAGCTATAAACTAAACCCGAATCCCCTATAAAAACAAACTAGCTTTAGTTTTATTTATTTATTCATGTAATAGGCAAATAAGTCATGTCACCGACATCACTCGTCACTGACATCGCTATCAGAAACATCTTGGAAAGGAAGATTTTCATAAAAGGGCTTATACTCACTAAGGAGTGCTGGAGGATTCATTGTAAATAATGACATTAAAGCGTCGTACTTTGCTTTCTTGATAGGTAATTGCCTTTTGTACAAAGGCTGTAAATTAATGTTTGTTAAGGATATACGAGTTCTACGATTACAATTTAGCTGTCTAAACTCCTCATCAAAATCTTCCTTGAAGTTAATAACAAAAGGTGTCGATTTAGAAAATCTTAACCAGCTCATTCTCTGCCAGCTAACCAGCTTTCGGGCTTCATCTGCTTTTCGAAATATAAATCTTCGATCGGCGTAATTCTTCCAGTCTAGAATTTGCTCATGTGATACATCGTGAACAAAATATGGGCTATCACCCTTGCGTCTTGCACAGCGAGCTACAGTTTTCCAATCCATAGGCCAGTTCACTTTTCCAACCCGTTTTACCTCTATTGATATGGCAGCATGCATTGAATCGCATTCCATCTCACTGTGAGCAACAACAAGAAATTTCAGATCAATGCATTGCACGTGTGGAATTTCCTGGACAGCAGTTAAACACATAGCTGCCACGTATTTGTTGAGATTTTGTCCTTCACACCTATCGCTATAGCAAATAATCTGCTCAACATCAGCTGGCAATGATTTGAAATAGTTGTAAAGATGAGTAGCTATTTCACAGCTTCCGAGACGACCCTCAACTTCACATGTAGCAGTCACCTTGTTTAGATACAACATTATAGATAGTAAAATTGAAGCACTTCAAACGTGTTATATAAAATAGTCCATTATTAGATGGGTCATAGGGCAGCATAAGAACTTGCTGGAGGTCAAAATTGCAGCATAAAACTTTTTTGTTGGTTTCAGCTATTTTCTTATCGGACCTTTTTTCCTCACGGGCCTTATCCCTGGCAACTATGTGAGCTTGATAATTATCCTCTATAAACTCTGTTTTAATACTACCAGGGCTATTGTAATTCATACATGTGCGGCACTGATCTTTTCGTGGACGAAAAAAACCCAGGTTATATTCTTCACAAAATATCTTTCTATACATTGACGAACTTAAAAAAGGAACATTTTTGTCTACACAATCCTGTTTATACATTGCGTACATTATGGTAATATTAAGTTCAGGCGCTAAGTACTTCCTCTGGGTTTTTTCACGACAATAGTGTGAGGCCATGACTGGAAACCTTTCGATATGACCCCTTACACCTTGTAATGCCTCGGAAGATGTGGCTTTTTTTTGGTCCTTTGCCCCTGTTATCCTGTGAACTGATATTTTCTTCCTTTCGGTTTTGCATTGCAACATCCAACACTCGTTTTCGGAATCCCAGTGTATTTATCAAGATCGTTTTACAAACTTGTATCTTTCCTTGACTGGCAGGCAAAAAAAGGTAATCGTACTTTGGCGCTTAGAATTTTCTTTAGTAGTACATTTTTTTTTCATTGTCTCCGTGTTGCTGTGTATAAAATCCCTTTTCCGTACATATGATTCAAGACGATAGTATGTCCGAAATATCTTGAGTCTGTCATCGTTGGTTACTTTGTCACTGCATTTGAGCCTACACTTTGATGTGCACGGATCTTTCATGGAAACGCCGGGAACGTATACTAAGTGACATATAAATCCGAACACCCAGTTTAAATGGTTTTATTTTAATAAAAGTTGGTGAATGTATTTATCTTACTGTAAATAACAAGTGACAAATTTTTCAGCCTTATCAGTTGGAAATTCCTGTTTTTATACTGCTTTTTTTTAATTCACTAACGCTCTAAAAATGAATATTTCAGCCGCAGTAAAGAATCAACGTTGGCGGATTTTGGTTCTTGACATCCTTTACGATCGGTTACGATGCCTAGAGTACGGAGACCTGTACGATTTCGTCAAGCTGGACTTTCTTTTCGGGCAATTGCAGTTAGAGTGCAAAGAAGTGTAGACACTGTGGTTAGGTGTTGTCAGGCATGGCTTCGAGAAGGCCGTACGCAAAGAGCAAGGGGCACTGGACGCCGCCGTAGAACAACAGACCACGAAGACCGCCGCCTAAGATTATTGGCCTTAAGGGACCGTTTCTCCACTACCAGGTCCATTGTAAATGAATAGTTTGCAGAACACGGAAGACCTATTGGCATGCGAAGTGTTTACCGACGAATGAGAAGTTTTGGCTTGTTTTCATACCGGCCACACTGGGTCCTCCCTTTAACTCGACGTAATGGCCTTGAGTGGTGCAGACAACGGTCACTCTGGGATCAGGAATGGAACAGTATTGTCTTTAGTGACGAGTCTGGATTTTGTTTAGGCATGCACGATGGTCGTGCCAGGGTTAGAAGGCGACGTGGTGAAAGGAGGAATCCACAGTTTTTTGTTGAAAGACATGTTCATCACACTGTTGGAGTTATGGTTTGGGGTGCTATAGCTTATGGTTCCAGGTTACCTTTAATCTTCATCAGAGGTAACATGAACGCGCAGCGTTATATGCACGAAGTTCTAGAACCCCATCTTTTACCCTATCTTGACACCCTGGCAGATCCAACTTTCCAACAAGATAATGCCCGACCACATGTTGCAAGAGTCACAATAGACTTCTTTCAACATAATGATGTCACATTGTTACCATGGCCACCAAGATCTCCCGACTTATCCCCAATTGAGCACGCCTGGGATATGATGGGTAGGAGATTGCTCAATTTGCAGCGTTCTCCTCAGACTCTAGAAGCACTTCGAGAGGAGTTGGTGGTTGCCTGGAATGAGATACCACAGGAGGACATTGAGCACCTGATCAGAAGCATGCCTAGGCGCGTTGGAGAATGCGTAGCAGATCAGGGTGCATCCACACATTATTAAAAGTCAAAGGGCTTTAAAGCAGTGCAATCATTTTGAAATTTTCATCATTTACTTATTATGCTTCATTAAGTACTTATACAAAATTTTATCAAAATAAAACCATTTAAACTGGGTGTTCGGATTTATATGTCACTTAGTATATTTGCCTCTACTGGAACCGTAACATTCGCCATGTTGTCTTCTTCGTTTTGAAATATTTCTTTTCCATTGATTCGGATTCTTCTTCCTTTCTCTAGTTTTTTCGGACCTTGTGGGAGTTTCTTCCATACCATCAAGCTGCGCCTCTTTGTTGGTGGTTAGGTTTTCAGGAAGTAACTGCTCCTCAGATGTTTCACTTGACGGACTTGGACAGTATTCTGAATGGTCGGATTCTACAATATTTGTAGATATAGGCGAACGTGGAACCGGGGTTCTGGGCTCATTAGTAGCTGAAACAATATATGGCATTTAAAAGAACAGCTGCCATATTTAGAAATATGGATAAAATCAATGAATTATACAATTAAGTGATTACATAACCTCACTTTTTAAGCTAAAGACCATTATTTGTATTTTTGAGTATTTCGTGGCATACCTGAGATGTTTTCTGATTGCCTTCGTAGAATATCCAGTATTTTCTTCCCTCTTGAAGTCATTTTTTGTGTTAAAACTAGTCAAAAACACTGAATAACTGGCTAGCAACACTAAAACGCACCTGTTGATTCAGACACACAACCAGATATGCAACAACTGGGTATCTTTAGATGTCTAGTTAAAGCATGTACATATTGCTTGTTTTGAGAGTTATATATTTTTTACCACTCTATAAACAGAATTTCATTGCTCCTAGGAGATATCCAGTTGTTGCATTGGAAAGAGTATATAAAATAGATTAGTTCTAAGTAGATAACTCAAAATAGCCAAATTTCAAGTTATCTAGTTGTTGCACTGAGGGGACGATATGATTGCGAGCCTGCAAAAGCTCAATGTCAAGGACCCCAGTGCGTCGTTAGCACAAGACCAAATGTTTGTGTAAGCAAGCCTCCA